TTTAGAGATATAGAGAATATATACTTGGCGTATTGGAAATATCATATGCTATCAAGCAGATAGTCACAGTTCTCTGAAGAATGATGTACAAAATCTTCCTCAAAGCAATTCATCTGCCTTCTCTTATCAGTTTTTTTTTTTCAATTTTTTGTTTTGAGAGAGAGAGGGAGAGAGAGAGAGGCTACCCACAACAGGTCTTACTGACATGATCTAACCTCAGACTTTAGCTAGCCCAGATCATGGCCCAGATCATGGGGAAGCATGTGCCCAGTGTATTCACCAGGAAGTCTCCAGATGTGAACCAGGAACCTACCCCATGTGAGACTGCCTTGCAGAGAGTATCATGTTTTACTGCTGAGCCTTCTCATGGCCTCCAGCATCATGCAGCAGTACCCTAGCACTGAGGCTGGGCTTGAAATGGCATTTTAACTGTTAGCAATTTAAAAATCATTTAAGAATAAAATTTTTATTAGACATTACCCAGTTTGGAATATTGGTTTTTAAACTATGAATCTAACTATGTATGAGGGCAAGTTCCCATTAGACAAATATAATTTTAATGAAGCCAGTAACTTTTTTCTCAGTAGCTTTCCATACTGCGTAATAAAGTGGCTTTCTAGAAGAATGCATTTCCCAGCTACATTAGTTATCTGTTCCTGATTTCTGAGTGCAGCATCATGGGCGACCTTAAGCCTTCCAGTATTGCCCAACCACACCATTCCCCATCTGACCTGAAGAAACTATGAGGGATGATGTTAGAAATGTGAAGTTCTGTGATATCACAATATCACAAAAGACTTTCATATACTTTGCTTGAATGCTATTCAGTAATCACCCCACATTGTATATACGTTCTGAAAGGAGTGAAGTATTTGGAAGGAAAAGATAAATCAGGCCATCATAACCAGGTTTCCTTAGTCAAACATAAAGAGGGTGTATTTAGCTCTAAACATTTTTTAATTGTACAAGAGTTCCTGTTCATTATAAAAATCGAAGAGTGTGAAAGGCCATCAGAAGAAAATTGTGAAAAATCTGAATCCTACTTCTCAAACAGTCCAATAGTTTGTTCAGCATTTCATTGAGAAGCCAAGTGCTGCTTAGGAGGAAGACCTGCCAATGATAGTTTTCCTCTGTGGCCTGAACAGTGTGGCTCTTAGTCCTAGATTTGTACATTTATTTTAGCCAAACTGAAGGCCCTTCAGCTAACTGGAGGTTGTCCAGTTTGTCTTGAGTTGGCCTTCAGTATTATTCTTCTCTTCCCAACTCCCCAAAGTAAGTGGTCCTCCAACATCATTCACTACTCTTCTAAGGTGAGCATTGGTAACATTTTCTCTTTTCTATAATGTGTTAGTGGCCCTGTGGTTGGCTAACCCACCCATGAACTTGGCTCTGTTTCCATCGAAGACTTACCTGTCATTTCAGACTTGATGGTGTTGATTTCCTCTCTCCCTAAACTTGCCCCTCTCCTAGGCCTCCCTGTTTAGTAAATCCATATATTTGTCTCCATCCCCACTGCTGCCACTTTAGTCTACGTAATCTTTGTTTCTTGCCTGAAATGGTTTCCTTTCTGGTTTACGTTTTTTTAATTTTATTTCTTGGAGTCTCTTGCTATACAGTAGGTAGAGTGCTCTTTTGAAAACAGAAACAGATAATATAACACTTCTGCTTAAAACCTTCCATTGTGCTTAGCACAAAAACGGAATTAATTGCCACCGCCTACAAGGCCCTGTGTGATCTGTCCCTTGCTTATCCCTTGTCCTAATCTTCTGCAGCTCTCCCCCTTATTCACTCTGTTCCAGCCGCATTGCCCACATACAGCAAAATTTCTTCCCCAGATATATCCAGCTTGTTCCTGCGTTCACGCCTTTGCACCAGCTGTTTCCTCTGCTTGGATTGCTCTTTCCCAGAACTGTGCATGCTTGGCTTCTGCATGATGTTCAGGTTTGAGATTTCACCTCCTCCAGAGGTCCTCCCTGGTCTTTAGTTGTAAGGTAGCTCTAGTTTTATTTTCTTCATTGCATTTAGCAATGTTCAACCACCTTTCTTTATTTGTCTTTTGTTCATTTTTCCTGAGAATTTAAGTTCCATGAGACTTCGGATCTCAACTGTCTTACTTACTCTCTGTTCTCAACACTAGAACAAGGCTCAGTAAATATAAGTGAAAAATGTCAGTGATTGACTCACTCAGAGAGACACTTTAACACCCCAAGGTTTGTAAAAGTACAAGTAGCTGTTCAGGTGGTCAGGGAGGAGGGTGAAGTGGCAGGGTACAAAAACACTTTCCCAGTCCTGAATCACTTTAGAGCATAAAATGATTTAAAGTATCTCAACAGCAAATGTAAGTAAGCATTCAGAAATAAAACATCTTCACACTGAAAAAGCACTGAGTTATTCAGACAAACCAGAATCAGATTAGTCCTAGACAGTTTGATCCCTAGTCTGCCAAAATACACTTGATTGTGGTTTTCACCTTTTTAAAGCATTACATGTTTGTAGGGTCATTATTGTCATGAAATTATACTTTTTTTTTTTTTTAAGTTTTGTTATAGGGCACATGCACTTGCCAGAGAGAAACAGAGAGAGAGAGAGAGAGAGAGAGAGAGAGAGA